GAAGGCTTTAGAAAACTTTTCTGCATAGGATAGGATAAGAAAGCTAGGCATGTTTAATTTGGACTCAAGAAGACTGAGGGGAATCTGATAATCTTCAAATACATTGAGGACTGTTATAAAGAAAACAGTGATCAATTGTTATCCATGCCCACTAAAAAGACAGAAAGGGAGCAATGGGCTTAATATCTTGCCACAAAGAGATTTAAGATAGATACTAGGACATTTTTTTTCTAAATATATGGATAGTTAAGCACTGGAACAGGTTTCCAAGGGAGGTTACTAAGGGACTGTTCAGGTTTACTTGGTCCTGCCTCAGTGCAGGGCACTGGGCTAGGTGACCTCTCAAGGTCCCTTCTAATCCTATATTTCTCAAATGCTATAAATTTGGGGTTGTAGACAAAGATACAGTTTTCCTTCAGAGACTTTGCTCCCAATTGAGCAGGTTCTGAGGAGAGTGAAAACACAAAATTCCTTTCGTAGACGGGATCCAAACAAAAATAGTAAACGGGGGAAGAAAAGTCAAGTGGAAAGAATGGGACTAATTTAGCCTAGAAAAGTTACTGTAAGTTGACTAGGCCATCCACAAGTCATATTCCTCAAACTTTTACTATATTATGCACATTTACTATATTATGCACAATCAAAATTTCTTCATTATGTTGACAATCTAAAGGTTTACTTGTGCTAGGCAAGACATTTCCAAGACTGATAAACCAAACCCACACAACCCTTTTTTCTGCACAAGCAGCTCAGAATGGAAACAACTACAAATGACAGCTCTAATGACATGAACATTCTAATTCCATTTTGGCCTATCTACCCTACTGAGAGAAGTATAGAACTGGACCTTTTAGTTGGCTTTAGATGGGGTCAAGTGTGACTCTTTATTGATCAGCAGGTCAATTCACACAGCATTTACTATATCTGGTATCAATTTAAAAAGGAACTCATTTATTCCTGGAAACATATAAGACATTTATGTTCTTTCTTATGGATATGTTTCAAGTATTGGGAAAAACAAATACTTTTCTCCAAGATTCTTGGATCAAGGTAAAGACAGATATTTTGCTCTGGAGAATAAAGATAAATACATTGGAGAGAGAACACTCAGAAAGAGGATATATAAGATGAAGAAGCAAAACATTTAATTTCATGAGAGGTAGAATATAAATATGCATAAAACTGGATGACAAATGTTTACATTTCTTGTGCTATTTGACAATATATAGAAATTTTATCCATGCATTGTGCATATTTTTTTAATTTAAACACTTAAATCCTCCAACTTCACAAAGATATTTATTGATATGGTAGGCCCAACATTCAGCAACAGACTTCTTCCCTTTCATCGTATCATTTTGCTTCATGCAACAAGAGATGTCTACAGATTGAGTCATCAGAACTATAACTACTCTTGGTATGAAAGAGGTTTAGGTTTTCACTCATTTGTTCCGAGTTTCCATTTTTCTCCCTTAAGCAACATCACTTTGGCTACCATTTTAGAGCCACAATTCATTTGAGATATGTCAATATGATCCAGCTATTAAAAGGACTACGATGCAGCATACAAACAAGAATAAAGGTATAACTTCTCCAATGCTCCAAATCATGCTGAGGAATGGGAATTTGATCAGATCACTGAAGTCAATAAAAATATCTTCATTAACCAAACGGGAACTGAGTGTGGTAGCCAGAGGTCAGCTTCCAACCCAGGAATCTTAAGGTACCTATTTTTAACAAAGTTGATTTCTGCTAGTTATTTCTAACTACATTTTTTCCTTAAAAATGTTCTAAGAAAATACAATCCATCTTAGGCAAGTGACCAGAATATATGCTTTTAAAATTACTTCCTTCTAAAATATAAAGTTTAAAAAAACTGGAGTGCAAAAGAGATACTAAGTTACGAATTTTAGGTTAATTACGTTTCTTAGAAATATTACAAAGATTCTCAATACAGCATATAAAATGTATTCTTAAGATTTGTAGGAAGAGCTGATACAGTAAAAACACATTACTTTTTGAAGAGCTTCATGCTGCAACTGAATTTACTATAAAGAAACCTGGTATCCAATTATTTCTTGCAAGTGATTAGCTTTTTGCTATGTCAGAAGAAAGAGTGAGTCTAATAATTGTAAGTAGTTTTAAAAGATGAACCTGAAGGAATCTTCCACTTATAATGTCACATACTTTGGAAAATACAGCAAATGTTTGCTACAAAAAAATAATCCAACTTTATTATATATGTATATATTTATAAAAATATATATTTCCCTGAAACTATCATTTAAAGAGTGATTATCACATCACCTATTTTTTCTTAATGCCATGTGACAATCTAGGAAAATAAACCACAATTTTTGTATATTAAATGTAATACTCTTTTAAAAAATACTGACCTCAACTTACTTATTGTTAGTTTACAAATAATAATGTAGATACTGTAAATTAGGGTAAGCAAAAGCATGCAAATCTATAGATTCTAAATCTGAATTCCTAGATTAGCATTAAAACCAATCACCGCAACAAATACCTCAACAGTATGCCTTGTGTGCAGAAAGGAAGCGATACTGAACATTCAATGCCACAACTGTAAGGTTTTCGGAGAAGCACCTGTGGCAGTTTCAGCAGTTTCTATATGGAATGCTCCCCCTTTCTAGGATTACTTGAAAAAATCAAGTCAATTCGAATTACGTAGCTGTAAAACATTGACATGTGTAGTTTTTACAGTTTCAGAATCTTCTGTTTGATTTAAACGGGCAATGGTGCATAAACAGGAAACTTACATCATAAGGGATCACATATTTGCAGGCAACATTAAGATTAAAAGTTACATTAACATACATAGAGTGCTGTAGCACGTTAGTCATTGTGTTTAAGCCATCACCATGTGACCACCTTAACAACAAGATAAAAGCCAGAAAGGCTCTGTAAACATTACTACTTGCATCCTGAAGCCAATTTAATTGTCAAGTGCTTTTGATGAAATGTAAATAGTATGGGCTAAAAACTACTGGTCAATTCATGGCTTCAGTTACTTCAAATTCAAATATGCTGCATCTTAAATGAATTAGTAATATGCTTATACAAAAGTTAGCAGAGACAAGAATTAAAAAAGGATCTGAACACTAAATATACCCACAGTGAGAAAAATCTTTTCCTACAGACATCAGTATACTAGTCTAAAGTTTGTAAAGCAAAATGTTCAAAATACTAAACTCAAAATGTTTTAACCCTTTGGTGTCCACGCTGCAAAATATTGTTTTAAATGCATGTTCTTCAGATAGTGGTACTAGAAAAGGATAAAGACTTAATTAACTGCATTGAGATTTGCTGGAAAAGCTGAGAAATATTTTGATAGAAATATATTCTGAGCTTTTATACGCAGAAATGAGAAATTGGTGCCAAGTTTTCATTGCACAACTAGTGTCACGATATAATAAAAGGTTGAATTTTAAATGAAAATTCTGAAACTTTTAAAATCATTGGCTAGATTCTCAATCTCTTCTCACATCACCACACAAAGTGTTAGGAGGAGAAGTGGAGTGTCATTCCACTAAAGCAATTCTCATTCACTAATCTATGTCAGGGTCTCAGTACCCTGGGAATGACAGAACGGTATGTAACAGGTAAAAGTAATTGGCAGATTTTCCCACATATGCTGTATTACACAATGAACACTGTTCAAAGATAAAAGAAACTAATAGTTTTCGTAGTAGCAATGTTCACCTAAGCAATGTACCATAAAGAGACTTTCTCCACTTACCCTCCCTCCCCCCAAAAAAAAATTCACAAAAAGACTTCCCAAATTGCAGACAGTACTGTTCAACAACAAAACCATTACAGCATCACCACAGTACTTTGCCAAAATGACCCCAAAGCACATTCACAGGAGAATACTGTGAAGTTGTAGAATAAAAGAGAAATCGAGGCTCTAAATAGAATACCAACTTGATACAAATGCAATTGACAAAATACCACCATTTCTGCTATGTCAAATACATGTACCAAGGTCAAACTGGAGCATCTATATTAGCAAGTAGAAAGAGTATTATTGCTGCAGCTATTCAGTGACTAGTGACAGATTAGGAATTCAAGTTAATACTTCCATTATGGAAATAAATCTAAGAAAATGTCATCAAAGCAGATATTGCAAGAGATGTATGTTGGTGTCTATATTCAGGCAAGAAAAAGTACATATAACTTTCAAACCTGCTCAGGAAAGACTACCATCCAGTTTTCAAAAATCAAGACAAAACACAAACTGGAGAGACTTCCAAGTAAAAATGCTGCTGCAGAACAGAGCTCTTACATGCCACCAAGGACTGTTGTTGAAAACCATGCACAGCCAATCACCTCAACACTTCTCACAATTCAGAGAGAAGACTGATGGCAACATATGGATCGACAGTTAAAACAAGAACATTTCTCATGTCAAAAAGCCTGAATCATGTGCTGTGGAAACTCCCTTGAACAATAATCTATATGAAAACAAATTATATCCAAAAACTGAGGACATGAAGTAGAACAAATTATACGATTGATGTAGGTCATCTTAGAGATTTTTTTTTTTTTTGGCCAAATGAAAGCCAAAAAAAAAAATAAAAAGACATACAATGCAAAACTGTACAAATAGCAGTTAATTACAAACCAAATGATAGATACACTAGCTTCCAGTAGTGGGGAATGACTTTTAGAGATTCAGACAGCACTGGAATACCTTTTGCAACAAGATGAGTGGATGAGATCATATACAGTTAAGCAGACAAAAGATCCTCTGGGTTCAAAACTAGAAAGACTTATGATAAGAATTTCAAAAGAAAACCAATTAAAATGTGCCCTTCCTCCAAATCTGCCACATACTACTAACATAATAAGCGACAGAAAAAATGAACCAACTCAATGGTTCTCAAATAGTGTCCTATAAAGCTGTTCTATACAGTGGACAGATAAGCTATTGTCAGAGCTAACATTTCTGTCAGGCTTTTATGCAAGCCATGCCTTCTGCCAACTCTAGTGAAGTCCCAGACACACAAAGTTTTTCAGAGCTTTTTTTGGCCAATTAAACTTAAAATTTCTGAGTTGGTGTGACTGCTACACTTTTCCTTTGACGACTGTTTCCCTGGAGAAGGTTCTGTCATTATCAAATCTGTTGAGAACACCAAAATTACAACAACAGGTAAAAATATGACAAAACCAAACCCTGGCCAAACTACCTGTAGAGATGAAAGCAAAAGTGGCTGCAGTGAAATATGGTACAAGTTTAAAATCATACACCAGGCAGAGGATATTGGCAAAACAAATACAGCAAATTCTACCCCTTCTCTTAATTGTCACAAGCCTACCAACATAGCTAGTTAGAACCTGAACCTAATTTTCATGGTCAACTGTATATTTCTCCACCACATAGCAGCTGCTAAAATAATACTCTACTGAACATTTTCAAATCACCATTCTCTTGCTAATCCTGAGGTCTCTCCAGTTGATTCAAGAAACCAGTACTTTTACTTACAACTATCAACTTTTCTATGAAATAAGTTCACCTTCATCTGGACTAGTCCATCTGAAGAACTGCATGTGTAGAACAAGCCCAGTACCAGCCATCTCTAATTTCATTTTCTCAACAAAGCATCTCTAGAAGCCAGAGCCAGGATGGTCAACATTCTTTGAAACCTACTACCTGTACTTTCAAGTAATCAATCCAAACTTAAACTTCTCTTGAGGGGGAAAAAAAATCTCACAAATTATCACACCACATTTAAACTCCCTTTTCTAAGCAAAGGGATCAAGAAGTTTATGAGAAACTAGTTAATTCAATTAGGCCAGTGTTTTTTAAACTTTGTAAGACCGAGGAACACCAAACGATTTTTTTTTTTAAATGAGGAACACCAAGGATATTTTTTTGAGCAAAACAAACAAACAAAAAGGTTGGCTGCCACTTTAAGGGCAGCCATTTTGAACTCTGATCCCCCCATGGCACACCTCTGATGGCTTCGTGTCCCCGGGAACACAGTTTAAGAAACACTGAATTAGGCTTATAACAATTACTGCATCCTGTCCTTCTGAGTTCCAGGCAGACGCATGGAAAAGATTTCTGTTGCTGCTTGGCTGGTGGACATACTTTCTTTTATGGACTTTACACACGCTCTTTCTCCTATGGCAGTATATCTTTGTTGTAGGTGATAATATCGGTAACTACAGCTGTCCTGCCTCTCATTTAAGAACATGCCACTACCAGAAAAGACACATTTAATACCCAATTCTTATAATAGAGGAAAGTGTTTTTTCTGCACTTTTTGCTATTACTGGATACCCAAATAACTCCAGACGTGAAAAAGGTCTTCTGCCATTTTTGGCTCACCAATTCCCTTCAGTTTTTGACTTGAGTACAGTTTAAGGATGTTAAGAACTAGTTGACTATCCGATAAGCAAATGCCAGCAACTAGTCAATTCTCCCTCCCCCCGCCCCGCTCCATCAGATAGAGGCAGCAATGGAGGAGTGGGGGGAGTACTTCAAAGCGGCAGCGCTGCACAGCTGATCCATGGCTCTGCTGTGCCTTTGAATAACACCTTGGTGTTTCAAAGTGGCAGCACCGCGTGGAGCCCAGGGTCAGCTGGGGACTCCCCATCTGATCCCGGGCTCTATGAGGGCACTTCTGCTTTGAAATGCACAAGAGCCCTCGCTGGGGACTCTTGTACATTTCAAAGCTTGCACGCCCATGTGCAGTCTGGAGTGAGTGGGACTTCCCACTGGCCCCGGGCTGCATGCGGAGTTCAGCATTCCTCCTTTCAAAAGTACAAGAGCTCCAGCGGGCCTATTTACTAGTCGAGTAGTCGATGGAAGTTCCATCGACTACTCGACTAGTAAATTAACCAACATATAACATCCTTAGTACAGTTATCCACGTGAATAAACCTCTAGCCTTAATGGACTGAAATGTCCTGACTTAGGAAGCTTTCAACCTTAAAGCACTCATTGGTAAAAAATTAAACAGCCCTCACTTACCAAGAGAGGCCTTGAAGAGCATGTTAACCTAATGTTCTGCTCTCTCTACTGAATAGAGTCAAGCTAAACGTTTTAGTACTTATTTTTAAAAAGTTCCTTGAAAATGGTCTTATGAAGATCTGTGTAACAAAAGAGATTTTGGTTTTGATTGCATCATCTTGATAATATCGTAAATTACTGTAAGTAGCACCCAGAGGCATAGATGCCACAGGGAAGGTGTGTAACTGAGTCTGGAAAGGAGGTACCTACAAGATGATCTTCTGTTTGAAAACAGTCTGTGTAGTAGCTTGCCATAAATGTGAAACATTCTGCTGAGAAGTGTTTAAAGTGACAGTCAAATGGAAAATCATCAATAAGAAGTATGTACAGGATGTGATTAGTGGATCTTACAAAACTAGTAGGATGATTCTTCTACAGAGAGTGTCAGTACCGTCATGTCTACTCTATTGGAGAAAAAGTAGTATAGGAAAAGCATTTCATATCAAGAATACTTAATGATTGCAAGATCCTATTCAACAATGAAAGCATATTAGTTAAATTATCTGGGTAAGGAAACAAAGAATGTTAAAAAAATGCAACAGCGGGTACATGCTACAGAGCACTAGGAGTCTAAGAGACTACAAATAAACAACTTCACGTTCTTGAAACCTTTATATCTATTAGGTGACAGGAACAGACCTGTATAGGATTCAGGAACTCCTTCACAAAGCAGTGTCCAATGAAAGGAGAAATCTTGACTTTTTTCCCCCAAAACTGATGCAGAAGAATCTGACATATATAAATCTCATAACCTAGTCTTTTATACTAAGGTATCTGTCACCATTATATCTAAGAATTACTGTGGCTTCCAAATTTCTGAAGAGCAAAAACTAGAAATCTTGAGTAGTTTATGAAGGCAAGATGAAAAGTATCTACCAGTATGTACCAGAGCTAAGGAAATCATAAAGGACATAATAATTAAAATGTCAAACTAGATTTCGCCTGAAAAAGAATATGACAACAAATGTAGCTAGATACTTCCTTCATAGAGGGCTTCTCAAAGGATGTAGAAGAATCTGTCATTAAAATAAAACTATTTATGAAATACCTGATAATGTTCATATCCAGTAACTGACCCTAGATCACAAGTTGTCATAAGATTGAATGATGCATCAAGAATGTGTAAGAAAGTGATGGTATTTAGGAATTATGTATTGCAATGTTCAAGTAAAAACGGATTATTTTGGGGATTTTGCAGACAGAGTGTAACCAACATGCTAGTCACAAGTTATGGTGACCGAGTGATCTAAATCCTAATGAGGGGAACAAATAAGTTAGCCTATGATAAGCAGCACTCTAGAAGTAGGGGCGTGGAAGTTCAAATAAGGAGAAGAGACTAAAGCACAGTAGGTATCATGATAACACATTATAAAAACTACATCTTGGCCTGCATGCTTCGGGAGACAAAAAGGATGACACTCACTGGTGATGACAGCAATGAAGATAAGAAAATGACTGACACTTTGGGTATCTCTGCAAACGATCTAGTGAGTATATGAATGTTCAGATGCTAGAAGTCGTGACCATTCTGAATGATCTTTATTTCTTTTACTGGTCTGGAGTGCTTGCGATCTTACTAAAAATATTACAAAGTCAAAAGGCCCTTCGTAAGTGTATTTTTCCTGTGCACATCAGGGCTCTTATGTTGAAAACTCTCTTCCAGCTTGAGGATGACCTCTGTAAAACCACAGAATGCTAACTGGGAATTAATATATAATCAATAGATCAAGCAACAATTCTGGTGAGAAAATAGCTGAAATCTTTGTGCCAGCTAGAGGTGAATGGATAAAGCCTTACCTAACAGAAGGAGATGCACTAGTGATTTCACAGTTTCAAATTCCACTGGTCTCATTTTGACTTTGTCCATTGACATGTCTATCTCAGTTCTTGAATATCTTCTTTTGGACACCAAATTAAGTTATCACAAGCCAGGGAGAACATAAAACGCTTTCCTCTGTAATTCTGTCTAACAGTCATAAACAATAGTGCTGGTGCATGACTACCAGGCTTTGACAGCTTCCTAGCATGACATACTATTTTTCTACAAGATTTAATTCCAATAAATGCAGCTTTCTCTTGTGTTCTGGTATTCAAGAACCCTGAACAACATATTGGAATATTTCAAGAATATGGTATGGAAAAAAAAGTGGAATTTCTTCCTTTGAGTTAAGCAAAATAACTGCCCTTAGCAAGATTTAGTATGTTCATCTGAATGAACATATATCAAACCATATCATGATCTCAAGATTCTCTCGCCACCTTAGCAGGATAGATAGATGAACTGGCCCTGGCAGGGGGTCTCTTCAATGACTCTCTCTTGTGTTGGATTGATGGAAGTAGTACTGTGGCTGCTCAAATGGCAGTTGCAGTGTGAACTATTCATACAAAGAGGAAAAAGAATGATGTGATAAGAAATGTGCTGATGTGAAGCACAAGAGTAATGTGCCAGAAACCATTTCAAATTATTATAGCAGATATGCTCATTTATTCAACAATGCCTGTTCAGCATTTATATCTGGGTATTTTTAATAAGTGCAATATCTTCTAAACATTACATTTTTATAATATTAAATAAATCTAAGTCTGGAAAACATACATCAAAAAGGGCAAAAGAAAACCTGGCACCAAGAACTCGTTTCTTTGTAGAGTTTCTGTACACTGGTTTCATCATTATTTTCCAATGTGCACAATTTCAACAAATTATGCTATCATACCATTTCATTTTAATGAAAATACAGCACTTACAATGGATTTCTTTAAAAAGTATTATCCACTTTCATAATCAGTTACAAAGCAAACCTTTTCATTCATTGTGACCACCTGCTTCCCCTCTTCAAGAGTCCATGTATACCATAGTTAGAAGCAATCCTTTTTATAGATGTAGGACATACTGTGCACAGAATATGATTCAGCTAAAATGAGAAGGCAAATACCACCAAAAAAAGGTCAAACTATTTTCTAGAGTGTACATTTAATATTGTTTTACAATTAAAAATTTACACAGGAATGGAGACCCATATTTTCTTTCATCATTAGGAAAATAATGCAAGTCTTAGTTCAGTTTAGACTGTAACATATTGGATGTATTTTAGAGGAGTGGTGAACTACCAAGGTGGGAATAAATTATACTTGAAGAACTTCAAGTAAGTAAAATGTATTCAAACTAAAGTTGTCACCTACCCAGAAAGGATAAAATTAAATACTGTCAGCATTAGTTAATTCCCAATGTAACTAAATGAGTAATATAAGAATAGTGTAAAAAACATATGAAAAACTGTGGTAGCCCAAGTTTGCTTTTGTTCTCAATTTTAAAAGAGCCCTATTTCAATTATCAGACTTTAATACGAGGTACTACTAGTAGTAGTATAATATTTTCATCAAGGTAGTCCATAATGAAACAATGGAATCTTAGTATCCTTGTGTTACTTCCCATAAAACACAAGTAAATAATGTTAAATTCAGTGTACATTGTATACCTGTTTATATCAGGTGTCTTTATATTTGCCTATCTGCGGTCATAGTTGTTTTCTCTGCATCTTCATGCAACTACAGTTTTAGTAACAAAAACACTGTATAAAGAAATAAACAATAATTTATTTATAGAAAACAAACAAAAAAAGTGGCAAATTAATATGAACAAAGGGATAAGTTCACCATCAGAACTTGTGGGCACAGTTAGCTAAAACCAGAGACATTAGAGCTGCTTTCATCACCTGTGTATTTGGTTCTTTGTGTTTAATTCTATATTTAAAAAAAATAAAACTTCTTTTGATCCCAGATAATCCCTTTAATTACTATAGCCATGGTGGAATTCATTAGTATACTATAAGGGAAGAACCTTTTTTTCTTTAAGACACAGAATAGATGTGAATAAAATGTAATCCTTAAGGCACTCTGCATTTTCAAGTAGTTACATAATCTATGAGACATTAACTGAGGGGGAGGGGTCCAGAGTCAAACCTGTATGCCTAAAATCAATACCCCTTTTATGTGTTTAAATATTGATATGGCTTAATTGTCGGCATTTAAATCTGAAAATAAAAAAAAACTATACTTTTAGGTGAAATCATGGCCCCTATACTTAATTGCAAAACTCTCATTGAGTTTTCTTGGGCCAGGATTTTATTCTATATGAAACTGATGAATCAAATTAAAGCATTAATCCTGGAAACTGATCTATGGACGTGAGTTTTACAGATTCTGATGGGTCGGATTCAATTAGGGTCCATGAAGACTAAGTCACAGAAGCAAATCAGATTGAAAAACCGAGGTCTTTGACTATAATCTCTCTATGGCAGGACCTGTCTTTAAAGTCCCACAGAACACCTACGGCACTGTTTAAATTATGAAATACCAGAGACAAAATTGGTTATCTATTACATCAAATTGCCATAAAATGGCATAATTTCTGTTGCATTTTAGATGACATTAAAAAGACCAAAAATAGCTTTGGCCAATGCTATATGCCCTCTATAAAACCTTACAACAATATTCTGCCTACACAGCACAATGACATGTCAATATCAGGAAAGATTAATGAAATTATTTAAAGTTAGAGCAGGCTTTCTTACTTGTACTGCTCATAAAAGAAAACTCCTATTAGAGCTAATCATTTGTTTAATTTTGCTTCTAGAATCTTATTTATTTAAAGTACTTTTTTTTATAAAGTTATTTACCACTTAACATTATCCTTTCTGACCATTACAAAATCAAATGGTCAAATAGTAATTGATGATGATAATTAAGGTTTCCTCAATTCCACAGTAAATTTTTATTAACTTGTCTCAAACATTCACTTTCAGAGTGTTCAGTTCAAAATGGATATTTATAAAAATAAGTTTGATTTCAAGTAATGTGTCAAAATCTAATAAGTTTGTATAACAATTTAAGTTTAAATTAAAAATTAAGACAGTTGTACTTAATATTATTACCCTGCAAATTATACTTTCTGAACTCTATATACAAAAAAGGCAGATTTCACAGATGCAGCACTACAAAAACAGTAACATGGAAACCAAAGGGTTAAACAAGAAATGAACTATGATTCTATTTCACGTATAATTCAGATATTCACATTGCAGGTTAAAATACAAAAAACACTACTTAAATTATAGAGCTAGTTCTAATGATAAATAAAGTGCTAAAGTATTTACATTATTATAAGCCGCAGAGCTTATACTCAACATGTCTAGGTGAAAACTGCATCCATTTTGTCCATGCTGTAAGTTGCAAAAGTTTGTGAAATTTTCTGAATGTTTGTGAAGTACAAAAACCTTTAAAGAAAAAATTTAACAGTGCAAATATACAATATATACTAATAAAAATTATTACACTAATTGCTGAGTGAAAGCTTTATCTGGCATATAAATCTGTTCTAGATCTTTTTAAAATTTATTAATTGTTACAGACATATAACATGTTGTAAATTAACTATAAAAGAGACAAGATGTAACATTTTTGGGGCATTTTTCAGAGGTGTAAAAAATACGGTTTTAATAACAAATGTACATTAATTCAGTGTTTCATGTATTGCACTGATTGATATCACCTCAAGGCCAATTTTTTGATTACTAGACATGTTAAAAATCTTGTTTTACAATAAATGAACATGTCAATCTGAAGGTATCTTAGTAAGATGTGTGCTGTTCTGATTTTTTTCAGTTTATTAGTATCTATGTTCACTATCCTATGTTAGTTAGACACACAACAACCAAGCAAAAAACCTCACTTACTCTATTTGAGCTCCATGAGCTACAAGGGCACTTATGGAATCCATACTACCAGACCGTGCTGCTTTATGAATAGGAGTTTCACCAACATAATCCTGCAAACACAAAGCACATTTTGTTAAGTATAACTTCTCAAAAAAATTACATTATTTCTAAACATTCAGTGTTTTTTTTCCTGACATGAATTAAGTAAAGGTAGGTGGTCTCATTCATGACTAGTTACCAGCTACTTTAACAGTATTGCAAAAATTACCTCATAAGGAAACCAATGCCATGTAATTATGGAATGACCCTTCTTTGAGGCTATCATCATCCATTAGTGATGCATCAGTGCTCAGAGGCCCAAATCAGGACTGGAGCAAGCAAAAATGCTGCTTCTCTTTCATGCAACCCTCCCCAACTCCTTCCCAAAATGTTTTTGCAGTTTGATAGGTCAATCTACTACAAAGATGTCAATGTCATTTGTAGGAGAGGGCTGAATTCTGCATGTGATCATGATCTGTGGGCCCACACTATGATGTGGGAAGCATGTTGTTCTCAAAGTGCCACACATCTACCACTGACATTACTAATGATACAGAGATTATGAGGAGAAGGGCTTGAAGTAAGTATTTAGTTCTTTTATTCAGTGCTTAGTGTTATAGTCACCACTCAGTGAGAAACATGCATCCCTTTAAGCCACCATTATTCCTGCCCTTTGTTTTGTTTCCCCTTAATAATCTTTGCAAAGTTCTTGTTCACTCTGCATTTCCTGCACTGCAGCAATTCCCAATTCCTACCCCCATGTACTTCATTCCTAATCCCCATTCTATCTGTTAAGATGATCAAGGTCAGCATTAACTAGTTGTACTACCAGCTTGTATTTTCATAGATACATCTCTTGGGTGTGAAAAAACTTCTGAAATAGCAGCTTTGGAGACAGAAAAGCTGAGAAACACCCAGGAGCAATTGGGGAAGTCATATGGCCTTCCTCCCCAAAAGGACTCCTGATCAAAGTGTGCTTTAAGTGTCAAAGCAAACTCATCAATATGTAAATAGCCTAACTTCTGAGAGATGCCAGGATAGCATGTGACTAAACATGAAAACTGACCCAAAGGGAACCTGGCTTTTAAGCTGGCTCCCTGCATATACTGGGAGCCTGCATGTAACCAGGAAGGTTAACCGATGAGCCCAGGCTCATTGGTTAAACAGGTACACAGTTATACTTTCACATCCCTCGTTTGTTTATGCAACAAACTTTCCTTTATATATGATTGAGAACCCACACTTGAGAACCTCAGCGGCTCTTAATACATTTAAAAAGCAGAGCTGCAGCGGGGTTAGCTCCCGGGATCGACCCCAGGAGCTAACCCCGCTGTGGCTCTGCAGTTTCCCCGCTTTATCAACTAGTCAATGGAAATACCATCAACTAATCAATCAGTTGATTAAACACAATTTAACATCCCTAGCCCAAGATGAGAAAAAAAATGTATAAGAGAGTGAAGAGGCCGAAGATAATAACATATGGTAGCAGTGCTCATTTGATGCACCTCCTAGTTCAAGACTCTAGCCCTTATTTCTGGAACACTGAAGTTGAAGTTGCAAAACACTTCCTAACAACCACTTTGCAGCAGCTGCTCTGAAAAAAGTAGGAATCAAGCAAAGTCTCCCACGTGACATATAATGGAACTCAGTAGTGGACTGTTTTGAACACCATATGAAGAACTGGCCTAATCTGATGACTGTTTGTGAACAAAATCATGAAAAATAAATGTCACAGCCAAAGTTCTCAACACTGGGCTTACGAGGAATGTTGAACACACGCTGAGGACACAAACCTATTTCTGCAGCTCTGAACATATTGCAGGGAAATAACTGTTTTATAGCTGATGCTCTTGAAATTTGGAAGGAAATCTCATTTATGAATGAGATCTTAAAAAGAGAAATATGCAATTTAAATTATAAGCATTAAAAAAAAAAGGGACAAGCACTATCTCCAGCTCCTTTACTTGTAAATATTCTCAATAGGGATGTAAGCAACTATTTGAGTAATCAGCTTAGGCTTATCGGGTAGTCAAGTCACTACTCACTTCCTCCTCCCCCCTTGCTGCCTCTGTATCAGAGGTAGCAAGAGGGGAGGGGAGAAAGCAGGAGTTGGTGTGTGTGTGGGGGGGGGGAGTTGGCTTAAAAGTACAGTCTCCATGGTGTGTGTGGAGGGAGGGAGGTGCAAGGGGAGGCAGAACAGCAGTGGCCGTGGAGCCAGTACAAGCCGGGACTGTTCAGTCCCAGCTTGCACTGCCCTAGGAACTAACCTCATTGTGGCTCTGCAGTTTAAATGTAGTATGAGCCAGGCTGCCTGCTTGCATGGCTCCTACTAACTTCAATCTGTAGAGCTGCAACCGGGGTAGCTAGGACACCCCCCGCCCCCCCCCCCCAGTTTAAATGTAGTAAGCGCCAGGCTGCCAGACTCCTACTACATTTAAACCACAGAGCCATAGTGGGGATGCCCCCCCCCCCCCCCCATTGACTAATTGAGTAGTTGATGGAAATTCCAGTGACTACTCGATTAGCTAATTAACCGCTACATAACATCCCTAATTCTCAATACTCCATGACAGGGACAAGCCTTAACTGCTGAAGAGGAGCTGACTATGACATGGGCACCCAGAAATCATCCCTCCATAATACCAACTATAATAACCTTCAAAGCTAAGGGTGAACTATTCAAGAATTTTTTTTTTTATACAAAGTCACACCAGTGAACTGGAAATCACTTGAGCACTTAGATTCAGAGACTGTTGAAGTGATAATCTCACTTTTAAACAGCAGTAGCTTCTACTAGTGTAAAAAGAATATTTTCTTCTTCTGGATTAATTCATTCCAAACTGAGAAATTGTTTGGGATTTGAAAAAGTAGGAAAGCTTATTTTCTTTTCCAGATTCTGAAGAGGAAAATGAAGATGACTGAGTTAATCAAAAAAGCCAATATTTTAAGTTTCTCATTTTGATCTGGCTGACAGAGTCAATTTAATTAAAAAAACCCGTCAACTATTATAGTTAAAAACAATTTTAACAAAAACAAATCTGATTTTAAAAAAGTGAATGTTTAACTAAATTAAAAAATTAATATGCTTGTTTTGTGGTAATATTATATTTTTGCTGTTGAAGAAAAAATGCAGAATACACAACGTTGCTGTTTTAGTTAAATAAAACAATTTTAATGTCTGTCTGGTGATATTCACCCTTCTAATACAGCATGGCACAGATCCTCCAAATATTAATGATTAACTTGTTGATCTGGAGATTGTCATTGGGAGGTGAACTTCATAAATATCTGTTTCAATTACCTTTAACAAAATCCCTCCAAAATTTCAGACTATGGAGTGGAGGCCCATAATGCCTTCCTAATTACAGACATGTAGTGGATTACAGAAAATACGATCATTTTGCTTATTTAAAGCATTTGTTTAATAAAAAAATCCGGTACTGAAAGTGTCAAAATTTAAATTGTAACTGCTATTCATTTGCCTTCTTTTCAAACACTCTTCTGAAGTGATGAAATTGTTTACAATTATTTTTGGCCAGAAGATGATTGGTTTGGGGTTTGTTATATTATGAGGAAACATCTCAAGCATGTTACGATTTACGTCAGACTGGAAAACAACCCAATTGCCATTGACAACAGTCATTTCCCATCCCTGAACTCAAGGGGGAAAAAAAAAAAAAAAAAAACACTCCCTGAATTATGAAAACTAGCAAGTAAATGTTCTTCTTTCAGAAGAACATCTGAGATCATATTTAAAAGAAAGCTAATGAATATTCTTATTATGTACAATACTGTGGATAGATTACCAATAGAACAGGTCAACAGAAAGAGCAAAACCCATTTTCCAATGCTCAATAAGCTGCAGAGAGAGTACAATTCAATGGCAAGAAAAGCACTTGTTATGCAGACCATTTCTAGGACTCTGTTACTACAAGGGAAGACTCACCACAATAAACTGAGACAAGAGACAAGCAAATAAGCTAGTTGGATAATAAAGTTGTAAACCTGAAAATTCACTTCTTAGCTTCAGTATGCTTAGTTATAGCAGAGTCTAATTAAGCTCCTTTAGCACTGTTTTTTCTCAAGGCAAAAGCTAACTTCTTTCCTTCATGCAAGCCTCCCTGCCCTTCCTCTATTAAGACACACTAAGATGTAATCTCAGTGAATGCTCTCCTACCCCATTCATCTTAATAATCAGGACCATCTGGATATTAAAAAGTAGGGATGTAAGAGTGTAGATGTTTAAATGGATAACTGGTTACCCAAACAGTTACATGCTCCTCATCTGGCTCCCAGGGGCAAGCAGAAGTTGGTACTCATTCAGAGCTGCTGGCATGCACTGGCTCCTGGGGAACCAACTGCCACCCCACACTGCTGTCTCTGTGTGCCCTGGGAGCCAAGTGTGCATCAGCTCCCAGGGAGCTGGTTGCAGCTCTATGTATAACCTCTGAAATTGTCAGCTGTTACACGATTAGTCAACTACACAGTTTAACATCCCTAATTAAAAGTCACATACAACTTTAAAGTCTAAAAATGAAAGTCATTGTAACTGTGCAAACTTTTTTTTTTATTAAAGAGAAGTTCTAGAGCAGATTTACCTGACAGTATTGCACATCCTACTTATTTTATGGGAAATATTTTACAGCATAAACAGATACTAAGTAACACCTCTTTTTAAGAGAATAATTATGTAGGCAACAAGGCAACTACAAAATTTCTGATCCATCACTATAGATTTTTAGTGTATAGAATAATATATAAATTCACTGTTACTCCATAGCAATATAATGTTTTAATTACTGCTAGAATACACATGGTACATTATTTTGCCCTAAAGGTCATGCTTACTGTGCATTAATAAGCACATTGTTTGCAATTTTTACAACAGTATATATCTGTAATTATGGCTTGTCTCTATTACTGTTAAGAAAGTGCATATTATACTAATCAATCCTCCACCCATGAATAAATCTTAGTGCAGCCTTACAATACAGAAATAAAGATTATCCAACCCAGAATATAAATTATTTTCTTTCACCCATATTATGATGAAGAAAAATGTGTTCTCTTCCAATTGTTTTTAAAAGTAAATTGTAGTATTTTGTCAGACCATTAGCCTTGGAAGAGAAACATGAAAACAAGTATACCTAAAATAATCTCGTCAGCTCATATTAATACCAGTTTGAATTTTTATTGAATTATGTTGGATGGATTGGTGGTTTCCATGAGAGACAGTAGCTTGACTTAAAATGCATCTCTTAAACAGATAAGAATGTAACAACAGAATTATGGTCATTCTGCCAACATTACAGCAACTTGATAAAGACAGTTTTACTGAAAACAGCAACCACATCGCAAATCTTGGACTGGAAAAATGAGTTAGTCAAATCTTCAGTTAAGTTAAAATACTGTAACTCTCAATTTCTTTACAAATCTTGTTTTGTAAGATACTTCTGCTTTCTATAGTTAATACTTGAGATACAAATAATTGAAACTTTTCCAAATTATCTTTTATTAAGGAGTATGGTCCAGATCCACAAAGGTACTTACGTCCTTAACTCCCATTTTGTAGGCCTCGCTGCAACTCATAAAACTACTAAACCACTTACTAAACTGGTAGGCACCAAAATGTATCCAGTGCCTAAGTTTTGCATAATTGTTCCCTAGATACCTGTTTCTTCCAAGGGCAGATTCTCTATCTCACTCCCACCTAAGACTCACAGCAATCCACAAACTGACAAGGAGAGATGGGCAAATCACTATCTTGTGTTTGGAGCCTGATCCGGTATGTATCTTCAGAGGATATCTACAGTATGTAGTACGATTAAAAATCCAGGAGGTGATGATGACATCCACATAATGTTCAGCCCAATGACTGGAGCACTCAGCATGGAATGTGGGAGACCAAAGTTCAATTATCCACTCTGCATGATGGGGAAAAATGATTTGAAGATACATCTCCCACCTCTAAGCAGTGTGCGCTAATCCCTGAGCTCTGGGACATTCTGATGTGAGACTATCCAAATCTTTTGTCTTGAAGCATTGGCCAAGTAGTTATTGAAGCAGTGGGGCTGGAACTTGGATCTTCTACTTTCTAAGTGAGTGCACTAACCACTAGGATTTAGAGCCCCTTCACCCTCTCATGGTGGGTTGCTAGCAGAGACCGGAAGCTACATCCAGGCTGCAGGAATATGCCTCTCTCTATGAAAACGGCAGGGCTTAACATACCACTCTCATTCGCATCTCTCATTGGTTAGTTTAAGTGGCTCCTTGCCTAGCCAGCTAGTTTTCTAGAATTTCTTTCCAAGATGCCTATCTCCCCCCCCCCCCATTTCTTCTGCGTGGATTCTGGCATCTACTATTCCTGTGACTTTTTAGGTACCTAGAAATTAGACACTACAATGCTCAGCACCACAGCAATGTCCCTTTGTGAATTCAGGCCTATGTATTTTTAAAAAACTAAACAAATATTAAACACAACATTAATACATACCTGCTTGTTTATGTTGGCCCCTGCTTGAATCAACCAGATCAGGCACTGAGGATGTCCTCCAAAAGCAGCAATATGGGCTGGTGTTTGCGCAAAACGTGTTGTACAGGCATTTACAGTAGCGCCAGCTCTCACTAAGTGCATTAGACACTCCAGCTTTAAACAGATAAAGGGAAAGTAATTTAGAAATATTACCCCTCAAATATGCCCTAATAACTTTAGGTATTACTGATTACATTAAAGAAGAAAATGGAACAATATTATTTTAAACTGACCATTGGTGGAAGTGGGCTAAACAACATTAATAAAAAATAATAAACTGGGCCTCAAAACCTCTTCCAGGTTTTCTCTGTCATTAAAGAAGTAGCCAAGAAAAATTTAACGCTTGCCAAAAAATATATATATTAACAAACCCAACACCATTAGTATGATAAGGAAACAACTGACACTTCAGAGATGATTATAGTAGGGACTTGTATTCTGCTTGCTTCTATCAGAAAGGTGCTGAGTTTCTGATCTGGAAAGTTACGAATGTGATTTAAACAGACATTATAATTTGCTAGAACTTTAGTTTTCTGAATAAACAAAACCTATTTGAACTTATATAAGTTTAGGAAAGTTTAAAAGGAGGGAGTATGAAGAATGTTAACTGAAAATTCTACTTTAATATTTCTCTGCAGATGTAGAAACCCAAACTCTAATAAGAAAGTAAAATGTATATTAACTTTCCAGTGCCTTTGCTGAGTTAAATGGAAAAAAACAAATGAACCATAAAAATGCTACAGAATACATGTATTTCAATTAAAATTTCTGTAATACAGCCACAAGGGATGTAAGTAACTAATCAACTAACCGACTATCTGATAAGCAAAGACTTATCAGATAGTCAACAAACTAGTCTATTAGTCACCTCCCCAACCCTTGCTGCCTCTATCAGAAAGAGGCAGCAAAGTGGGGGAGGGATAGAACAGGAGGGGTGCTGGGAGGAGCTGGCTTAAAAGCTGGTTCCCTCCAGCTCCATGGGAGGAGGTAGGGGCACAGCAGTGGAGCTCCATCTTTGAAATGTTCAAGAGTCCCTCTGTTGGGGCTCTAGTACATTTCAAAGCAGAAGCGTCCTTACTGACTAACTGAATAGTCAATGGAAATTCAATCGACTATTTGATTAATCTAATTTTAACATCCCTAACAGTCACTAGCAATATAGAAAAAAGCATCTGTTTGGGTTTTTTGGTTGCCTTTTCCAATATGATCACTAGCATTTTTTTTTATTCAGACATTCAATCTTGTATAAATCTTGAAGTTTTTAGTATGTCGACATTAAAATAATTCAGAATGCTTTGAAAAGATGTCAGATTACAAAGGGCTACAAGAATTGCAAAGGTAATGAATGATCTTGACTTACAGGAAAGTGGTTGGAAAATTGTGTCATACAATTGCACAACTTTTGGCCTTCAGGTACAGGAATCATCAGAAAATTAACTTTTTAATATTTTATAATAGGTGCCACCATAGCATGTTTAATTTTACTCTAAAGAGTTGAAAGTGTGCTGTTAAAATTTTTAATTCAAATGACTAAAAATCTGGCACATTGTTTTGAAATTTTAAAATAAACATATGATGACTAGAAATATTTTCAAATATTTTTCAACTTCAACTATAATTGGGCAAATGTGTTGTGGCATTAGCAACTGTCCCTACCAGTTTAATAAATAAATTAAAATGCAATATTCAATCTGTATTTTATGAATTTAGAGGTTTAGTTTTAAGATAACTTTAATAACTAAATGTATTTCTCTTCTGAGAAAAGAGGATGTATGAACAGAATACAGAAAATAAAATGCATTAAGAACTCAATGGATTTAAGACTAGGTATAAAGGAAATATGGTAACTCACCATGCAACAGAGAGGGTTCAGAGAAGAGCCAGGATAACGATTAAAAAAAAACATGCCTTATAATGATAGACTCAAATAGCCAAATCTAAGCTTAACAAGTAGAAGGTTTAGGGGAGAAATTATTACAGGGGGTCCTCGCTATAACTCCAAAATACGTTCCAAAAAACTTGGACTTATAGCGAAACAACTTAAAGTGGGAAATTTTTGTGGCTGACTTCCATTTAATCCAATTGGGGTGGGAGGGTTTCGCATGACTTATAGCGGGGAATGGGAGGACTTATAACGCATCAGTTCCTACAAACGTCAATGAAACGGATGTATACCGGGGCAGCTTATAGCGGGGCCCCCTTTACATAGCATAAGTATCTACATGAGGAGCAAATATATAATGGCTTTCAATATAGCCGAGAAAAGTATAATGCAATCCAGTGGGTGGAAGCTGAAGCAAAACAAATTCATAGAGGAAATAAGGAACACATTTTTTGTGAGGGTAATTAATCATTGGAACAATTTACCAAACGTCATGGTGAATTCTCTCCATCACTGACAATTTAAATCAAGAATGGATGTTTTTCTAGAAGACATATGCTATGAATTATTTTGGGAATGTTATATGGCCTGTGTTTTATGGGATATCAGCCTAGAGGATCACAATGGTCCCTTCTGGCCTTAGAATCTATGAATAAAAGTATCTTGGGATGAGCAAATAAGTATAGTGCTAATGAACCTAGCTCTTAACATTCAACACGAGAGAAAATATCCTTTAAACTAATGTTAGTGAAAGTGTTGATACTTCACTCTACCAAGAACAAAGGTTTTTCTTTTTTTGACGTACAGATCCAGATTACTGGCCTGAAGAGAGGCAGGCAAATCGCAGTGATCATTTATTGTGAGCTACATAAAGATAGCAGTCTGTCAATTCCAGAAAAATAACCAGTGTCCTCCTCCTTCCATTTAATGGGGATTTGTAACCCATGCTAGCATAATTTCAAAACCTGTAGCTAAAAAAGGTTATTTTTAAAACAAGTCTTTTTAAAATGTATTCTAATTTTAAGAAGTCTAATGAGAGAGAGAATGAGTTGCTGCGCTTCATTAAAAATCAGAACACGAGACCATCTGCCTCATGGACTGAGACCTGCTTCTCCGAGTCCCAACTCCATCAGAAAATGGAAGTAGCTGCTAGTCAGGAAGAGGCCAGAACACCAGGTTCCCTTATTCTTGTCCCATGGATTCGAACACTGAGCACTCGTTTTGGTCATCATCTTTTTGGTTTCTTTAATGAAAAAAAAAGAATATTTTTCAAGTTCATGATATTGCTACAGTGGGGGGTTGGGAATCTTGGTAAACCCAAAAGGAATATGTGGCGGGTTGCAGGACTCCTGTACACTTACAGTATAGGGAAGGTGGACACTAGATCATGTTTTTTTTTTAATTAGCCCAAAGAAAAGTAGAATTTACTTACCATACATTACATTCAACAAAAGTAAAATAGTCAACCAACCAAAACAAGAAAACAGTCAAGGATTACAAAAGCAAGAGGCAAGCTGACACCATAATTTTTCACACACACACACACACACACACACACACACACACACACGAAAAACATTAAAAACCCTGCTATCTTGAGACTGTTTTCCTACCCTCAGTTCCCTTGCCTGCACATTAGCTATTTATATCATATATTCCTTAATATACTGACCTGTCTTAGAGATCTGTGCAACACCTGAAATAATTCAAAGTACTATATAAATCATCTAAAGAATATTTTATTGAACATTAATTTTTATGTAGCTGATTTTGTAGGAATCCATTAGTGTACCAGGAAATATACATGTTTCAGTTTTCAGGGAATATACAGAAAACTGTTTTCTCCATGGGTATCCAAAAAGAGCAATTTGGGACTGACTATGACTTATACTGTTGAACATACTTCAACACAAAATCCTACCAGTGGAGGTTTGCACTAGTAAATGAGTCATCAGACCTTATGAATGCCAGGGAACAGTTACCTACTTATTAAAAATAACCATACATTTTCTTAACTGTTGTTTGTTTTAGAACTGTTATTTATTTGCAATACTTTCTCAAAAACTAGAATCATGTATTTCTCTTCTTACTAGATTATCTTTTTCCATTTAAAAATATGGGTCCTTGTCATCCCTTCCTTAACTCCCCACTCTCCAAAATACAGTCTTCCTTTTTTTGTTGACTGATATTAGTCAAAACACCTAGGCTGTGTCTACACTGGTAAGTTATTCTGGAAAATCAGCCGCTTTTCCGGAAAAACTTGCCAGCTGTCTACACTGGCCGCTTGAATTTCCGGAAAAGCACTCACGATCTAATGTAAAATCATCAGTGCTTTTCCGGAAAAACTATGCTGCTCCCGTTCGGGCAAAAGTCTTTTTCCGGAAAACTGTTCCGGAAAAGGGCCAGTGTAGACCGCACAGTATCACGAAAATGACGATCGGGGCTTTTTTGCGGAAAAGCGCGTCTAGATTGGCCACGGACGCTTTTCCGGAAAAAGTGCTTTTCCGGAAAAGCATCAGACTGGAAAAGGGCAAATATTGTGCCCATCTATAAAAAGGGGAATAAGAACAACCCAGGAAATTATAGACCGGTCAGTTTAACGTCTGTCCCAGGGAAGATAATGGAGCAGGTAATTAAGGAAATCATATGCAAACACTTGGAAGGTAATAAAGTGATAGGGAATAGCCAGCATGGGTTTGTGAAGAACAAGTCATGCCAAACTAATCTGATAGCTTTCTTTGATAGGATAACGAGCCTTGTGGATAAGGGAGAAGCGGTGGATGTCATATACCTAGACTTTAGTAAGGCATTTGATACGGTCTCGCATGATATTCTTATTGATAAACTAGGCAAATATAACTTAGATAGGGCCACGATAAGGTGGGTGCATAATTGGCTGGATAACCGTAGTCAGAGAGTTGTTGTTAACGGTTCTAAATCCTGCTGGAAAGGGATAACAAGTGGAGTTCCTCAAGGGTCTGTTTTGGGACCCGTACTGTTCAATATCTTCATCAATGATGTAGATATTGGGATAGAGAGTACTCTTATTAAGTTTGCAGATGATACCAAACTGGGTGGGGTTGCAACTTCTTTGGAGGATAGGGACATAATTCAAAATGACCT